TTTAAAAAATTAAAGAAATTGATTTAATAATTGATAACCTTCCAAAAAAGAAAGCACCGGTCCCAGATAGATTCAATGGTAAATTCTACCAGATATTTAAGGAAGAAATTAAGACAGTTCTCTACAGTCTCATCCAGAAAATAAAGCAGAGGGAACATTTTCTAGCTCAGTCTCTGAGACCAGTCTTACCATAATACCAAAACCAGACAAAGACATTACAAGACAGGAAAACTACAGACCAATATTTCTCTGGAACATAAATGCGATAATCCTCACCAAAATATTATCAAATCACATATAACAATACATAAAAAGATTTATATACTATGACCAAGTAAGATTTATTCAAATGTATAAATATGGCTTGACTTTTGATAATCAATCACGATAGCCAAGATATGATAGTATAATAACCTTAGTGTTTGTGAACAAATGAATGGATAAAGAAAATATATTCACCTTGTCGCTGGATCTGATCAGAAGACGTCAGGATCGGAGGAGCTTCCTCAAGGCATGCGCCAGATGCATCCACACAGAAAACGAACCATGTTCACTGAGAAGCAACTGAAAGCTTTGAACATCTTGTTCAATGAGAACCCATATCCAAACCCCAGCCTTCAGAGAGAGATGGCCTCAAAAATCGACATACATCCAACAGTACCACAGGTTTGGTTCAAGAACCATAGAGCAAAACTCAAGAAAGCAAAATGCAAGAATGTTCAGCAAAAACAAGCAGCTCAACAGCCACAGATACCTGAAGGTGAAATCAAGATCAGTCCCAGTCAGAGAAATACGGAAATACAGCCCAGGTCCCCAAACGCCGCCTATCCTGCAGCTCTCATTTACGCGGGGCACCAGGCACCCTCATACCAACTCATCTCATACTTCAACATTAAGGTCCCTACAGATGTCTTCTTTGGCCACAAAATAGTCCACTTTGGCTGCTGCCAAGACCCTAACATTTATTCCCTTTATCCTATTGTGGAATCCCAGGTTGATTCTCCACGCTTCGGTCCTCATGTTTTTGGCTGTTCACTTCTACAAAGCAGGGAGAGACACCAGCTGTAAAAGATCACATGTAATGATTCCTGTTCAGGAGACCACAAGAGGTAGACAGACGCAACAACGTCCATGGATTTCAGAAATACTATGTGGCCCCAAAGAAAGACACAAAAAGCTACATACTGTATAATTCCAGTTTATATGAATTCCTAGAGCAGGGAAAATTAGTGGCTGCCCATGTGGAAAGAATTAAATAGAGGCACAAAACAAATTTATTGGGGTGATGGAAATGTTTCACGTCTTAATTAGGGTGGGAGTTACCTGGGAGAGTAAATTCATCATAACACTCAGAACTGTACATCTAAAATCTCTGCATTTTATCTTATATAATTAAACCTCAATAAAAACTA